GCGCTGCAGGCAGACTCACACTCAGGACCGTACTTGCAGTGGTGCTCATTGAGGTCCAGCAGCAGCATGCACTGGCCGTGGTTCAGGCAGTAGTTATCAAAGGTGCTGTCACAGCTCCCCGTCATCCGCTTCACCACATGGTGGCGCTCTCCTCCTGGCCCTGGAACACCAGCAACAAGACGCTGTTGGAAACTCTGCTGGGCTTCTCAGAGGAGATTAAACACACAAACCTGGGATTAAAATCATAACTAGGCCCCAGTGTGAGTGTTTTATTTTAATAAAAGTTTAATCATGAGGATCTGAGGCTCAGGAGCAGCTTTGACATCAGTAAAGTGTCACCAATGGTAGTGTTGGACATGTTTCAGGCAACAATTAGTCAAAAGAAAGAAAAGGAATCATGTTAAGACTTTCTTGCAGCAAAAACTACCAAACATCTGATTGTTTCAGATCCTTTAACCTCTTAAGACCCGAGCTCTCGTTTGATATGCTTTTACATTTTTATTCCTCTTTACTGTTTGATCAGATCAAATAGTAAAGAGGAATGGTAATAAAAAAAAATGCATATCACACAAGAGCTCGGGTCTTAAGAGGTTAAAGATAATAATTTATGTCTCACATCATAATTGACTGAATATTTGGGGAGTCTGTCCACATAAAGATAATAATAAAGATAATCAATATTTGCAGCCCTTATTTGTTTATTTAAATGTTTTGTGTTATTATTATTTTACCATCTTTTATTTTTCGTCCCTGTGTTTGCCGGCTTAAACTGAAGTATTTTGTCGTCTTACTCAAGTGCAAAGCAACCTGGCTCTGAAATGTGTTGAACTAGGAGGTAAAATGAGTTCAAACACGACTGTTTCAAGACATTTTACCTCCTCGTTCAACACACTGGATGTGAAAGTTAGAAATGAAAAAGCAGAGCCTAGATTGTTGACTTTTAGTCTAAATGTTGATCACTGAAGGACTCAGGTATTCAATCTCAGTCTTAACGGCTTCAAATTCCAATTAATGTTTATTTTAATCACTGATTATTTCACCAGTTATTTTCCTAATTAGTACGTCGGCTGTTTTAAAACATCTGTGAAGCGTCCAGTGTGATCAACAG